TCAGGCCGACTTTCGAGGGTTTCTCTCGGGCATAGGGTTTCGGGGTTTCGAGGGTTTAGGGTTTAGGGTCTAGGGTTTAGGGTTTAGGGTCTAGGGTTTAGGGTTTAGGGTTTAGGGTTTAGGGGTTTCGAGGGTTTCGGGTTCGCTAGGGTTTAGGGGTTTAAGGTTTAGGATTTGCCCATCCGACCACAGTGGACTGCACGGTTCCGACGGCCGGCGATCGTGCCGACATAGATGCCCTTGAGCTCGTCGTATTTGCATCAGGAGGCTTCTGCCCCCTGCTGTCTGCAAGACAATACCCTCCCAACAGCTGACGAGACTTGAGAGTTTGGTCGATCGTCTTCGTACCGAGCCCCCTGAACAGCATGCACGTCGGAATGTTTTAAGACATGCTCGTGGCACATCTCGGGCACTCGATGTTTTTGATGAAAGCTGCCGCCTTAAATCCAGTATATGCCGCCCTGAAAATCCAACAGCCCTACAGCATATGATACCTTGAATCCATAAACATCCTAAACCCTGACTACGACGCTCTTATCTGAACCCTAAACCCCACACCCGCTTCCCCGCTGTAATATGAAACCCACAACCGTAAGCCTTAAGCTCTAAATCCAAACCCCTTAGCCCTAAGCCCTAAACCCAAGGCCCAATGCCCTAAGCTCTAATGAACCCTAAACCCTAAGACCTTAAGCCCTGAACTCTAAACCCTGAACCCGAAGCCCGAAACCCTAAACCTTTAACCCTGAGCCCTACGCCCTAAGCCCTAAACCCTGAGCCCTTAAAACTACGAGGCGGGCCTCTGAGGGGCAGAGCCACAGCTCAGCCCAGGGATCGCCGCCAGAGCCCTCCGCACGGTAGGATTCAAGGTTCAAGGCGGCTTCATTAGAGTTTAGGGTTTAGGGTTTTAGGGTTTGGGCTTTTGGTTTAGGGTTTAGGGTTTAGGGTTTTAGGGTTTTAGGGTTTGGGCTTTGGGTTTAGGATTTGAAGGTTTTGGGGTTTAGGGTTCCCTAAACCCTTAAAGCAACCCAATGTTCCGGGTCTACGACTCCTAGGGTGACTTCTTGAGGTTCTTGGCTCAAAGTACCATGGGACTCGGCAACTCAGTAAGTAAGGGTTTAGGGTTAGGGTTTAGGGTTTCGGGTTTAGGGTTTAGGATGGTTGCAAGCACCTCATTCTAAGTTTATGGTACATGTAAGGTGTGTTGCTATACTTGAACCAGAACCGTGCTTTCAGGATACTTCTTTTCCGATCTATTGATGTTGATGCGCAAGTGTTACATTCTTCACTTTGCCTTAAGGAGAAGCATGGAGGAAGAAAAACGGCATCGTCATAGCACTAACATGAGGGTGTAGGGTATAGGGTTGTGAGAAGAATGATCATACCAGTCATCACCACCATCAGAATCAAAGTGAGAACAGCCAGAACGATCCACACATGTCGCCATGCTCTCGTGACTCGAATTTATGGTTTATGGCTTTGGAGCCCAGCGTGTGCGGTGTGGGTAGCAGGGCATCAAAGCAAACTTGAGTCAAGAAGGGCGCATGCGTGATTTGGGGTTGGGCGGTCGTTGAAGACACTCGTGCTGCATCCACAGACAAGGAAGTTCGGAGTTTTAGATTCCAAAACTCCGAACTTCCTTGTTTGTTTAGATTTTTGGCTAGCCCCGCTGGCTTGCTCTGGGCAATGGAGACTTGTAGTGGTTGTCAGGTCCTTCGCACCTGAGTTTTGAGCATCTTTCTGCCCCGACCGACCGACACAACACCACAATCCTGCATACATAGGAAGCTCAAAACCTTTTCCGATCCTTTTTGACACTGCGTGCCACCCGAGCCTCCATCCGTGGCCCCAGTGCATCCAGCCAGGCAGGAGCCAGGGGTGGCCGCCGGGGAGGCCTCTGTAGAAGCCCTGTTGCCCTACAAGCCTAGTTACCGAAGAGTTCAGGAAACTGCATGAACTGCGCAGAAGAGGGAACTTAGTTAGAGCACTTGTACAGCAGGACCATACAGCTCACTGGTTTTCGGGTTTCATAAATTTAAATAACTGTGAGCCCGAGTAAGAAGGGCACTGTTGGAGTTTGGGGCTCTTCATGTCATTAAGCCGCCCACGGTGTCGTGAATAGAGATCTTGCAAACTGCAGTACTTCATCAAATTCAACGAGTAAGCCTAAGGGCTTCGCGCTAAGGGAGGGGCGCTTTAGGAACACTCGCCAGCAGTTGAGGGATCTATAGGTAGCATGTTAGAACGTATTCGGCCGAGGGTTTAACTTCGTAGGGTTCAAGGCTTGGGTAGTCTTGGCTTAGCCCTAAACCCTAAGCCCCAAACCCTAAACCTAGACCCAGGAGTAAC